TAGAGAGGAACACAAGCAACTTGAACTACAAGACCTTAAAACTACATTGTGATTGGAAACAACTCAGTGCCTAACTATAAATGTTAGGAATTGTGCAGTACTACGGAAAAGCTTTGCTTATTTCAATAGTGCAAGAGAAGCTGTATTTAGTTCAAGATTTTGGGTAGCAGAGGGAACCAGGATGAAGAAAAGAAGGTTTAAAGATTTATCTTTACGAAGCAGACAAATTGATTAGAAAGGAATTTTATTTTACCGCTTCTGAGGGGAGGGGAAAAAAAAAAAACCAAGTTACAAATCTTTTTCGGATTTCAAGGATATGAGTCTTCCACTGTCTAGTTCCGTTTTTCTCAGTAATAGCCAAGGCCCAACATTCTCCCTCCCTCCTACCCTCCCTCTCTCTCAAAAAAAAAAAACACCCAACCCCACACTCAAATAGCCTCCCTGCGCCCCCTCTCCCCACTAATCTTTCTGCCTGAAGGGGACTGGGTAGAACTCTTCTGGAACCCAGAAATGCCAGAGTTGATCAATCCAAGACCAAGCATCTGCCATTCCAGGCCTCTGCTCCCATAGGCTCAAGGAATACAAATTAAATACAGTACAGAGAAGCAATAGGAACCCAGTTCGCCCTCGCTTGAGGCATGCAGTGGCCTGCAATTATCACAAATGACTAGATACATCTGAATGTACTATTACCTTGATTTTAGTAAGGCTTTTGATAACTGTCTCGCATGTCTTTCTCATAAACTAGATAGAGCTACTATAAGGTGGGTGCATAAAAGGTTGAAAGTAGTTATCGGTGGTTCATAGTCAAGCTGAAAGGGCATATCGAGTGGGGTCCCGCAGGGATAAGTTCTAGGTCCAGCTCTATTCAATATCTTCATCCATGATTTAGATAATGGCATAGAGAGTACACTTATAAAGTCTCTGGACGATACCAAACTGGGAGGGGTTGCAAGTGCTTTGGAGGATAGGATTAAAATTCAAAATGATCTGGACAAACTGGAGAAATGGTCTGAAGAACAGATGAAATTCAAGAAGGACAAATGCAAAATACTCCACTTAAGAAGGAACAGTCAGTTGCACATATACAAAATGGGAAATGACTGTCTAGGAAGGAGTACTGCAGAAAGAGATCTGGGGGTCATAGTGGAGCACAAGCTAAATGTGTGTGAACAGTAACAATGTTGCACGCACACACACACACAAAAAAAAAGCAAACATCATCCTGGGATGTATTATCAGGAGTGTTGTAAGCAAGACACGAGAAGTAATTCTGCCACTCTACTCTGTGCTGATTAGGCCTCAACTGGAGTACTGCATCCAATTCTGGGCACCACATTTCAGGAAAGAGGTGGACAAATGGGAGAAAGTCCAAAGGAGAGCTACAAAAAGGATAAAAGGTCTAGAAAACCTATGAGGGAATACTGAAAAAAAATTAGGTTTGTTTAGTCTGGAGAAGAGAAAACGGAGGGGGGACATAACAGTTTTCAAAGTAAATAAAGGGTTGTTACAAGAGGAGGGACAAAAATTGTTCTCTAACCTCTGAGGATAGCACAAGAAGCAGTGGGCTTAAATTGCAGCAAGGGCAGTTTATGTTGGACATTAGGAAAAACTTCCTAGCTGTCAGGATAGTTAAGCGCTGGACTAAATTACCCAGGGAGGTTGCGGAATCTCCATCATTGGAGATTTTTAAGAGCAGATTAGACAAACACGTGTCAGGGATTGTCTTAGTCCTGCCTTGGGTGTAGGGGACTGAACTAGAAGACCTCTTGATGTCCTTTCCAGTCCTATGATTCTATTAGCGACCTGATTTGTCCAAGCAATTAAGTCAGGCATACGGTTACACAAACCGTACGGTAACCGTATGATAACTGTCCCAGCCAAGAACCACTTTACAACCAGAGATTGCTGAATGAATGCAAATTAATGCTCATTAAATCAAAAGAACATTGCAAGCAATGTCCAGATTTTATTTTCAGGCATGCAAATCTCTCCAGCATTGTGGTTGGAGAGCATCTACCCTTCTCTGCTTGTGAAAGATTTAAAGGACTGCCTAGGGCTAGGCCATCTATGCTGCTCAGGAACATTCCCTTTTTCTCCAGGAACGTTTGTTGTTTAAACAAACTCATTCCTCTCCTGCATGACAGAGGAAGAATGAGCTGAAGTCAGATATTTATTGCTCAAGTGACAGAAAAACCAGATCATTTATGAACTGTCAAAAAAAAAAGCAGCTGTACATTAAGGTCTTCATTTCTTAAGGGCTATCAAGCCCCAAGTGGATATTTCTCAAGGTGACTCCAGGAGGCTGAGAGATAAACGGGCTGCATACGAACTTGCTATAGAACCTAGCCACAAAAGCAGCCAATTTACTCCAGCTGCATCACAGCAATAGATTCAGTATTGCTTTTACACCCATCTGTCTACATCCCCACAAGCAGATAATTCAGATTGGAGTGGAGTGTCAGCAGTGAGTGATATCATAGGAAGCTGCCCCTTTTCTTTCAGGCAGATGATCTACAGTACACAATCTGGAAGAGGAGAGGAAGGATTCTACAACAAGAATATACAGCTTCCTGCTGCCTCGTTACCACCTTAGGCCAACCTGTGCAACCAAAGTTAAGAGTTGCATAGACAATCGACTGCAGAGTGCGCACCACTGTGTAGTACGTGAAGTCAGTAGGAACAAATGGCATGACCCAGCTTTATTTCATCATAAGTTAACAAGCAGCTGTCTGCTTCCAAACAACTTTGTTGTATGCACAACCCCTGCTACCTGCCTAGTGGGGAGAATCAGATGAGGTCAGAGATACTATCCAATGACAGCAACAACCCGCAACTGGAAAAGGTTTTGCCGCAATCATAAGCCAAATAACTGAACTCTGCTAATACACTTCAGACACAGCAATGACAAGAGACAATGGTTCTGCAGTGCAGACTTTCCAGCCTTTATATCAGACACTTCAGCGCATTCCCTCCCTCCCATGAGCGTACTCACTGCCTTAATTAGAAGCATAAACCCTGGATCTGAAGTCATGAACTTTGTAACCAGATCCAAACTAAGAACCTCAGGCCCATCTCCAGTGTCAAAGTCTTCAATAGTTTTACTCCAGTGCCTTTGAATAGAGGGTTGGTCATAAGAGCACGCTTCGCTGCTTCACTTCATCAGGCCAGCCGGAGGCTCTCTCCTCTAAGGCATCATATTTGATGAATTTGCTCAGTTTCTAATAGATCACTAGTGGCCAAGTTCACATTCTTTTGTGTTTAATCAGGAAATAGGGTCCTGCTGTCATGCACAAATCAGACAGTTGTATCAGTGCAACCGCAAGCAGGATTTTTAATGCGAGTAGGGGTACCCTTCCCTGACAAACAAACAAAAAATAGATACATGAATAGTACTGGCATCAGGATAAGCTGCTAAATCTTGTCCCCACTGCAGGTGCTGGAGTATGAGTGGCACCCAGTGGACATAGGATGCATTTAATCTCTGGGCAAGATTATTTAGCTCTTAGAAATAAAAGCTTGGAAAGCAGAAATGAAATTGGAGTTTGGCACTACAAGTTTCCAATGTGTTTGGAGACATGTTTAGTTCAGGCTTTTTTGTGTATTACATAATAGGGCAAACGATCAAATATCATCAAGTCCCTCCCTATTAGTAAAGCTGTGTTCTACAATGTGCACTCTCCTTCTGCATACTTCCACAGGGAAGAATCAGTGCTGTGTCTGGAGGAGTCTTTTGCCAGTAACTGGCCCCACCAGATTCAAAGCCCCAGATGCAGACATTCCCAAAATTTGTAGCTTTGGTCCACCTTGGGGTACAACAACACTTGGAGCATCAGTTTCAGTAATAGGAAGTAATGGCATGAACAGGAGAACACTTCCAGAGACTGAAAATTCTTGTCTGAACATAATCTTTACCAACAGTTTATTTTAAGTAGCAAAAGAGAAAAGGAAGATGGTAGAAATGTGTAAGGTAAATGCATTCACATTTAGACTTGATGTTTGCCTTTTCTTCAGGGCAATAGTCTTTTGATTTTCCTTCCAGTACTCCATAGTCTGCAGTTAAAACCAGACTCAAATAGACAGAGAAAACATCTCTACCCCCAAATAACTCACTGCCAAAACACTGAAGGAGCTGAACAATAAGAGACGGGTAGGATTAGCTAAACCTTAGGACACCTATGGGCCTCTAATACACACAGGTGCTCTGAACTACAAATTCTCTCACCGACAGCTGAAGACATTAAAGATGGAAGAGTCATCAGATGATCCTCTGCCACTGTAGGATTATTCCCATCTGTGTTAGTGCTACATCCAGATAGGACTTTAGATGTCTCACACAATACAATCCCATAGCTTCAATTTTGTTATTGGAGGGAAGGGGGACCAAAAAAAAACAACAAAAAACACAAAAAACAACAACAACAACAATAAAAACAGAAAAACCCTTGATGCCTAGTTATGTTCCTTGCACCATCAGCATCCTGAGCCATTCACCTCCCTCCTGCTGACACTAAGTACTTCCAGAAAGTCACACCACCCTTTAGTAATTGCCTGGCCATACATATTAGTTATTCTTGCCTCATCAGCACATCCAAATAATGAATAGCCAGTGTCTTCAGCTGAAGGGAATTGCACTCCTGGGGACAGCACTTCCAGGAATGATGGAGAGGAGCATGCCATCATCCAGGGAACTAACCTAATGCAGAGTCTGCAGCCTGGTCAGGGACCCATGGAATCATTACAGTTCATTTCTATAGTTCTACTCTGATTGGCTCTACCCAGTACAACAGCTGCTCATCATCTTTTGCTTTCACTCAGTTCAGCCAGAACCAATGTTAACATCACTGATTTCAGGAAAGCTGGTCAGCCCCAGAGACCCCATACCTTCAGGTAGACCGTGGACAATTTATGGCAAATTCGACATAGCTACAGATTATACAACATTGAATTGTGTGAAGTCACCCTCCCCCTAGAACATCCTGCTCACAGGAGAGCTCTACCTTTCTTCTCTGAGATCGGCAGCCTCATAGCTTGCTGTGTGGTACCTCTGTGGTCTTTCTTTGGAGCCGCCACACTAGTCTGATTCTGTCGTTGGCCCTGTTCAGCTCCTGGAAACCATGCAGGTCTCCAGTACGGCTGTATTCCAAGACTGCTGGCTGTAGAACTGTGATGGGAACACTGTAGTTCAGGTGAGGGTATGTAGCTCCTACACTGTTGTCCTTTGTGTTGCTAGCAACAATCCCTGTATGTGGGGGAAGAATAAAAAGGAGACAAAGAGTTTGTGATCTTTCTGGTAGCTTAAGAAGTTAAGCATTAAAAACATGTCTCCATACAATGGATAGATTGCAGGACCTAGACAGAAGCAGAACGTGTCCTTTGCATCAAGCACAGACAACCTTATTCCCCAAATCTGAGCCATCAGTGCAAAGAAAGAAAGGCCAGAGTAAGATTTCAAACTCCAAAATACAAAGAAGGATAAATAATAATGCTTAGCATTTAAATAGCTATTTACACCTGCACCATCTGAAAGAACGTTGCAAAGGTAGGTAGGTATTTTAACTTTGTTTTTTCAGATGGGGAAAACAGACAGATATTTAAGTTCCTTAGCATAAATGCTACACATTTTAATCAATAGCAGAACTGAGGATAGAGCCCAGTTCGTATAAGTCCTAGTGTAGTGTCCTCATAAGAGAAGCTTGCCATTCTGAAGAGGACATAACTGAGGGAAAATAGTGTTCTGTTTTCTAGCTTCCAAAAGGGAATTGCTAACACAAAAAGGATACAAGTACTGAACCATGCCCTTGACAGAATACACACTTTCTACTGATAAAATAGTCATACTAAAGAATCAGGTATCCCACAGCAGCAACAATTTGCTATTGAGTTTTGTGGTTATAACAGTATACAGGGAAGGATCTCCTAGCTCCATCTCATTGGCCAGCACATGCCATCAGCACTTCAGACAGCCCTGCAAGACCCTTTCTGATGGGCTCTACACTGATTAAGAGTGATATATTAAAAAAATAAAAATAAAAATAAATTTTATATATATATAAATAAATAAAATAAATAAATCCCCCCCCCCCTCTTGTGGGGAGACTGACTGGCAATTTTAGGTCCCGTTCCAGCAAAGCACTTCAGTACTTGATGTAAGTAGTCCTACGCAACAGAAGTATTCAAATGCTTATAGTTAAGCACGTGCTTTGCTAGATTGCAACCTCGGGATGTGGAGGATGAGAGGAATAGTTATGTAGTCCAGCTCAGTGCAGGCAGGATCCATGCAATTCTTCCAGCACAACTCTACTAGCATTCCCCAGTCCTGGCTTGGAACTTCAGTAGCTAGTCCAGCCTTGGACAGTCCCCTGCCCCCACCTACTCTGAAAATGCAGTGAAAATGTCCTATGCAAGCTCTTTCATTAAAGGCTACCAAATGTATTGAACTGTATAATTTGAGATATGCACAGAGAGATAACAACAAGAGACCCCCAAAAATCTTTTTCCTGGTTACCAGACCCAGGATTTCAACTATGTTTCCAACAGAGTGTATTAACTTGCTTAGGCCCTTGATAAGAAAGGTTTCAGCTAGTCACAATGAAAGGGGAGTATCAAGTTCAAGTGACAAAGTATCATCTAGTGGGTAAAACAAGACTGGGAATCAGGAGCCCCAGATTCCATTCCTACTTCTGTTGAGTGTATGTGTGACCTACATGACAATCTGTATCTCAGTCTTCCCATTGGTAAGAAGGAAATAATCTCACACTAAATGTGCATTGTGAGGGTTAATTTTTGTGACACATTCTGAAATCCTAAAATGGAAAGCATTACAGAAGCTTCGAGTATCATCCCCTTGTCCTACCTTTTCTGTGATGGTGGCCATAATGTGTATAATCTTTGTAAAAGAAAAAAGCTCTCTCCTGAACGGGGAGGTCAGGGGAACAGAGAAAGCACCTAACAGCATCCAGCCGTGATGATTCATTACATGACTGGCCATTCCCCTCCTTTGGGGTGGGGTGGGGTGAGGGGAAAGGAGATAAACTGAGATGAAGCATATTATTTACCAAGGAGCTTTCCACTGTTTGTAGAGAAGAGGGCCCCCCCACTCGAGCCACCATGAATCGCACAGGTTGACTGAAGCATCACTGGCTTGTCATCCACAGTGATCACAGCTGACAAGATTCCTGATGTGACTGATGGGCCGCAGCTCTGACCAAACACACCAAAGCCAACAACACTCACTTCTTCTCCTGCATGAAGGAGACAAACAGCAGCAAGAATCAGGTGGTTCAGGGGAGGGGAGGTAAATAAAAAGGTGAATTCATGTAGTAAATAAGCAGCAGGAGTGGATGAACTCTTATACAATTGTTACATGTAATGGAAGAAGTCAGGAAAAAGAGAATGCAGAATATGATCTGGAAGTAGAATGTTTGTTGTCTAATGAGGTGTCAGCCACACTTGAAGAGTCACTGGTGAAAATTTTCGAGAGCACAAATGGCAATTAGGTGCTTAACTGCTATCTGTACCTTTGAAAATCTCCCCCACCAGCCACAGCAAGGACATCTGTAGTTCTTATTTTCTGTCCAGATTTGTAACTGTCCTAGATCCCGTTTTATTATTCTTCTGTTCATGTTTGTTTTCAGTTTATTCCAGATTGCTGCTCTAACATTATACTATCGATTGCTTCCAGTAGTATACAGCGCATCACCATGCTGTGGGCAAGACATGAAAGTTTTCACTGCCCTGCAGATGTAAAACTGATCCCTACCGTAAACTATAAGACATGCGCTCTCCACAACTTCTATTGTTTACTGTCCTTCAGCCAGTTTTCAGGTCACGTGACAGCATACATATCCAAGCTAAAAGCAGATGCAAACATTTGATATGGTATCTTACCAGATCTTTAGTGAAGATCAAGTATGTCACATCTGTGTTCTCTTCCTCTGCTTTGCACTTTACAGGGCTTGAACCCAGTAACATGACGACTGCATGTGAGGATGCAGCACACTATGCTTAGTGATAGCACTCACAGTTTTGGACACTGGAAAGTGTTTTACTTGGAGGGAATGCTGTCCAGGCCACTAACTTTAAAACATAACCCCAGTCTTTTGATCTGTCACTTGACCAGCCAAAGAAGAGGGGACATTTGTTAAATGTCTTGCTTGCCACCTTGCAGGGTACCACCTCTTCCTACCATTGAATGAAGGTGTCAAGTGCAGCACTTCTCTTAGTACTGTAGTACAAGTCTTGGCCTTGGGTGCAACTGCAAGTCTTGGTCATGCAAATCCCTGTTCTAAAGGTAAGCATAACCAGACAGACAATCATAATCACACAGCTCTTTGAGCTTTCACTTCTCCAGATGAGGATTCAGGCCCTTGGAGTTTGAGTTACCAGTCAGACATCCAACCCATGACCATTGAAGCTACAAGCAGGACAGTAAATAGAAGAATAGTTACCTGCACCAAACTTGGTAGCTGAAACAGGTTTTGCAAAACAGAGTAAGCTTTCTTCTAGTTCTACCACTGCTATGTCATAGGGAGAATCATCATTTGTAGTAAACACCACTTTCCCTTTAAGGACACAGCCCCTAAGAGCAAGTACAAACAGAGTATCATTTTCAGATTTATACTGAGAAAGTTTTGGAAAGGAATACAGACTCCAAATATAGTAAGATGTTGTACATCAGATTCAGGCCTCCAAATTAACTGACTTCAGCCATTTTGTGGCAAAGTTCACTCGCAAGGAAGCAGGATTTAACTCTCCAACACTTATCAGTGTCACACAATCCCAAGAAATCCTCATATACCAATATGGTGCAGGTAAAACAAAGCTGGTCCAAGCAGATTAAATGCTCCATGTGACACATCCCATCACCTCAGCCAGGGCCGGCTTTAAGCCGATTCAGCTGAATTGGGCCCCGCGCCTAAGAGGGCCCCGCAGCTGTCCACTCCGCCCCCAGCTCACTTCCCCCTCCTCCCCTCCCCTGAATGCTCCGCCCCCTGTTCCTCCCCCTCCCCTGCTTCCGTGAAGCAGATGTTCGCGGGAAGTCTGAAAAGGGGCAGGCGGCGGCAGCACCGAGGGTAA